ACTCCACCGGTACTTAAACCAAGAGGAACTATAACATTGGCGTGTTTAAGTGGAAATCTGAAATAAAATGTTTGTGTGATGTAAAAATACTGGGTTTTTTTCCTAACAAAAGAACAAAGTATCACTGAAATGCGGTTTTGCTCCACATATGATACACAGAAGTGCCATCGACAAAAGGTCATACACAGTGGGTTCTCAACCTGCACTATTTTTTTTACCTCAATGCACTTTGTAAAGTACGTAGTTCTAATCAAATAACTTTATATATGAATACTTTCAATTTCTTGGTATTTTTTGCGAAAATAATAAAAGAATGATTAATACACAAGACTGATTAATCCCCTGAAATCGGTACTTTGTATGACAGCACCTGTACCTTTCGCGGGAAACGTACAGGCAAAACTGTTTGGTATGATGCATTGTGGAGTTCAACTTTACGTTACAATGATGAAACAGTTTCAGACATATAGTTCGGTTAAATAAACATTATAAAAATAAATCCGCTGTACACGTGTCATTTAATTGAAAGACAAAAATTAACTTTTACACAGATCAATATGATATACACAAATGTATCTTGTTAATTGTATAAAAATAACAAAATATCCAAATGCAAATGATTTTTAACTCTGTATAAATGAATAATGATTTGACGTTCAAGAATAACACAGGAATAGATAACCTTAGCTATACTTGGCAAAACCTTTCGGAATTTATGGTTCTCAATGGTCTTCAGGTTCGTACTTTATTTTTGCTTTTTTTTTATTCGAGCGTCACTGACGAGTCTTTTTATTTTAAGAGGAAACGCGCATCTGGCGTATACAATTCTATTCTTGGTATCTATGATGAGTTTATTTGAAAGTTAATTATAATTGTGTTACAAACTTATTTATGCAACTTACAAAAATTAATACATAAAAACTTACGCTGAAACAATAAATGCCATAGTTGTGCTGAACAGAAAAGAACGGAATAATGTATAAACTACAAACTCCACATAGAACAATCTCTCCGATGCAAAAAATGATAAGACGTTCAGTACCATCCCTAACACACAGACACTAAATAAAGGGATAACATTCGGCATAAAATTCCGCAGTGTAATATCTCGTCTATCTGAAATAAAGTGTCAATTGCAATGCATCAGTGTAATACATTAAATATTATTGATAAACTGTCATTAGTAGGATTAAAAGGAAACATAGAATATTTGGCACAGCAACTCAAAAGCAGAAGTATACATAATAGATATGTTCAGTTCACATTCGATATGTGCCTGTCCATAGTCAGGAGCATGTAATTCAGTGGTTGTCGTTTGTTTCTGTATATCATATATGTATTTCGTTTATTGTTTTGTACATAAATAAGGCCGTGAGTTTTCTGGTTTGAATTATGTTTACATTTTGTCATTTCGGGACCTTTTATAACTTACTATGCGGTATATATTCTATTTTATTCAATAGAAAGAAAACTTGGGACAGCGAATGTGAAAGATGTACAATATTCGATACTGGTGAGTCGGAAAGATTTGTACTGAAAAATGTGTAAAAAAGTCTGGTTAGATTGTCATTTAAAACAACTATTTACCATGGTCAAAAGGGTTAGTAGTGGTAAGCGTATGATTTTAATATTTAATCCAGGGTACCTGTAATCAAAAGACCTTGTTTGTGTAGACAATGCATCATACTGTCAGGGATTTCGTTACCATGAATTACGTAAAACTTTTACTAAATTCTTTCATAGATACAAAGATTTGATTAGTAAATTTGTCTGTACCTGTAGAAAACTGATTAAAAGCGGTATTTCACAGCCAAAATTTTACGGTAATATTGTACTTCAAGCGCGGAAATCACTATGTGATCCGTGTAAACTAATCGAACCGTTAAACAAACTTATTAGTAAAGGTTATCTTACCAATGTAGTAATTAGATCTTTGAATATAGTTAACATTGGCACTAATATCGATTTTGTCACCAGCAAATTAAAACATAACTAAATTTGTATTCTTTTCAAACGGGATGTATAAAGACACAACCACGTTCATTTTGATCTATAAGGAGGTTAAGTCCTAACTATCCTACTGCCTGTCGATACATTTATTGTTGGCATTGCAAAAGTCATGTCTTCTTTGACTGTCCATGACGTTAAAATACTAAATCCCTGGAATGTGTTTTAGTTGATTTCAGTCTCTGATGCATGATTTTTTTATTATTAATTGTTTTTGGCTTTTAACTAGCTGTCAGTAACTGCGAGTACTCTCAAATCGTACTTTCTTGTTTATTTGACCTGTTGATACTAGTTGTAATGCTTTTTTGTTATTTAATGTTATTCAGGGTTATATCTGGTCTATATACCAGCTTTGATAAGTGTTTGGTATTACTATATATTTTCACTTCTTCGTACTATGAACATCAAAATTATTTATTTTGTAAAAATATATCATTTCTCCATTTGAACTGTACACGTATACCTAACAACAAAATTATTTTCATTTACCTGTGTTTAAAGTAATTGCAAATGGCTGATATTTTTGTTCAAGCATATTGTTTTTCTTAAATTGTTTAACATTTCACAGCGGTATAACATGTTACTTTAATTATTCTTCCCTTAGTTTATTTATTTTGTATTTACATTGTATCATAGATCAAATCTATTTGTTCAGTGTATGTTCACTGGTGTTAATATGTCTTTTGATTGAGTTAAGCCATTTCAATTGATATCTTATAGTGTGTCGTTCTATGTTGTGATGTTACACTATTGTTTCAGATAAGGGTGAAGGTTTGTTACCATTAAATCGTTTAAACCCGCTGCAATTGTTTGCACCTGTCCTATATATATAGTTGTCGTTTGTTGATGTGGTTCATAAGTGTTTCTCGTTTCTCGTTTTTTATATAGATTAGACCGTTGGTTTTCCCGTTTGAATGGTTTTACACAAGTAATTTTTGGGGCCCTTTATAGCTTGCTGTTCGGTGTGAGCCAAGGCTCCGTGTTGAAGACCGTACTTTGGCCTATAATGGTTTACTTTTATAAATTTTGACTTGGATGGAGAGTTGTCTCATTGGCACTCATACAACATCTTCATATATCTATTGACATTGTACAGTTCACAAGAGTCAAACACGAGAGAGTGTAAAGTTATAAGTATTATATATAAAATATATCAAATGTTTGAAAACAAATGAATATATGTTGTGATGTTACACTATTGTTTCAGATAAGGGTGAAGGTTTGGTACCATTAAAACGTTTAAACCCGCTGCAATTGTTTGCACCTGTACTATATATATAGTTGTCGTTTGATGATGTGGTTCATAAGTGTTTCTCGTTTCTCGTTTTTTATATAGATTAGACCGTTGGTTTTCCCGTTTGAATGGTTTTACACAAGTAATTTTTGGGGCCCTTTATAGCTTGCTGTTCGGTGTGAGCCAAGGCTCCGTGTTGAAGACCGTACTTTGGCCTATAATGGTTTACTTTTATAAGTTTTGACTTGGATGGAGAGTTGTCTCATTGGCACTCATACAACATCTTCATATATCTATTGACATTGTACAGTTCACAAGAGTCAAACACGAGAGAGCGTAAAGTTATAAGTATTATATATAAAATATATCAAATGTTTGAAAACAAATAAATATAAATGTATGAATTAAGAATTGACAACAATTTTGCGGGCATAATTACGTATGTTCCATTTTATAGGTATAGGACAGAAAAGAGTTCTTTTATTAAATATGGCACATATGTATGATCGTCAATTTAACATAATGTCGGGTTATGTCCCTCCTGTTACTAGTTAGCTTTTCCGTTCTTCAATTTGTTCATATCTTGGTCATGTACGCTGTTTTGACTTACTCCTGTGGCATACACAGTTAAATGAAACAAAATGATGTTGTTACGTTAGAACGTTTTTCGCATAGCAACATTCGACACAAATTGCACACCAATCTGTTTGAATTACAAATGCTGTGTCCAAGCTTAGACTACACGGATCTGACAACACTCTGTTTTACAGACCTATAGTATCCTCTGGTTTTGTCGTAATGATACACACCTGTAAAAATTCTGAAGGCTCTTATTGCATCGGATGATGTAATACTGTAATTAAAGCGTGGACACATGATTTGCATTTTGATCAGATTGATTTTTCACAAAACTCTAATGTTATTGCCTGCTGTTTTTTGTACTTTGTTTTGGTTATATCTAAACGGGAGTGAAATTTAAGATTTTGATAACCCTTTTTAATGTTATTTACGTGAATTATTACTATTTGCCAAAACGTTTTCTTGTTAACCTATGATAAATAGCGTCGTTACGGAGTTTATTGAAGAGTTTCATTTGCAAGACCGATAATTATTTTGTCACTAGTTTTCCCGCTGTTAAATTCAAATTATTGAATTATAGTTGTATTTTACACCTCAAATATAAAATAAATTTGACTTTAACATATACAATGTTTGGAATAGGTTAAACGACAAATAAATATATTTTACTGAATGATACTAATTCACTGAGTGGTACATAAGTTTAGTTAGTGGTTCGATATTCAAACTAAGTTTAGATATGTAAGATTAAAAAAACCATAGCTATTTGTTCATCAGTTTATTCAAATAATATTGCTTTCCCTATGTATAAAAGACTAAAAGACAAGGGAGGTTCAGTAGACGTTCAGTCGTCAGCAATCTAATAACACGCAGTCTAGAAGTCAACATACGGCGTTCTTCAACAGACCAAATTTAAAAAAAATTTAAACTCGTAATAGCTTCGATTCTAGAGAAGTTTGTTGTTTCTAGTATTTACTTATTATGATGTTTTTCCTTTTTCCTCTTTTTGTTACATTCCTTTTTTACAGGGATTTGTTTTCCGTTTTATTTGTTGCTAGCTAGTTTTTTTTTAAACGGTCTATTCAGTTTTGCTGTTTTCTTTCCTAAAATATATTTTTTACAAATTTTCTGTACGAGAATTAAATATATGAAAACATTGCAAATGATTTATACCTTTGAATAACTTAATTTGCCATTCTACAAGAAAGCCTGGTATGAGAGCTGTCACTATACCTCCAGCATTTATATAGGACCATACGTTGATGTAATAACTCACTACAGTGTCAAAAAAAAGAAGATTAAAATACATGGTGTTAATAACAATACGAGATTTTTCTTTTAATTTCATTCCATGACAGATCAAGTGTTTTACATCTATCGGCATGAAATCTGAATTCGCATTTGCTAGTTTGAACAATTTATTCCAGTATATTATAGACGTGTCTTTGAACAAGAACAATGGATAGATGTTTCATTGACAATCATACATGTACCACATCTCCACATTTTTATAATTGTAAATCTCAATTCAAAGGAGGTCCAATGGAAATTGCATTCATATTTACAGTTTAGAATCTAAAATGGTATTTATTGGACAATTAAATATTCTTAGCTGACTAGCAAAAAAAAAATTATATCTCGCTGATTAGTATACAAATACATTTATACTTTTTCTTGAATAAGGGTACTACATTATCATCTAATTTTATAAAAGATAAAGTTTACAAAGAATACAAGGTTCACCACAGGCTGCCATCTTTTCAGTCTACATAAAGAGGGCCACTCAACGGAAGATCATGTTTACAATAAATATTTACTAAAGGTTTCGTTTTTCTAATTATATCCACCGCTTTCTGAAAAGGGCGAAAAGGGTGGTAAATATTGAATGGGATGCCCATCGTTTATTAGCCGGTCATATGTCCCACTTTTTTATCCGCTACTGGTACATTTGTACTGCTCGACAGAATTTTGTTAAATTTCACAGAATCGTGTTCAAATGAAATACTTCTGCACTTCCTATTTTCATTTGTTAATTCGAATGATTTTTGGGGTTTCTTATATCCACACACTACAGTACACATTTATATCCACTTCACTCCTAACCCTTCTTAGATTCTCAGAATCTTCATCATATAATGCCATTGTGCGTATCTTATTAGATTTTTGATTCGAATAATTTTTTGGGTCAATTTCCTTTAGCATGAAGGGTACCCATTTTGTATCCGCCATTTCTTTATCAACCCCTTATTAAATTTTTTTGGGGGCCTCGGTGGCCAAGTGGTCTAAGTAGTTACTACTGTAACCATTAGCCAGTCAACACGGAGGTTGTGAGTTTGAATCCCGCTCGTGCGGGTGCACTCGACTCCAATCTTAATTGACTAGGATTGTCAGTTTTCCTATCGAAGGTCGGTGGTTTTCTCCGGGCACTCTGGCTTCCTCCACCAATAAAAACTGGCCGCCACGAAAAAGCCCCAAAAGCTTAAAAGTGGCGTTAAAACACCAAAAATTAAAATCAAATCAATTAAATTTTATTGTAATTTTTTTTCAGAATCGTTAGCCTATTGTGAACCTCCTATTTTTATATCAAAATCATCTCAGTGTTTTCCGAATCAAATCAAATACTTTGCAATTGTTTAAGGGGGGGTTGCATAATAATAGTAAGGAAGCTTTGCTCGCAGTACCTTTAATTACATATGTTGCAGTGTATCTTATTTTTTTAAATTATTGAAATTATAATAGATGAAATACATAAACCTATAGAGCAATTTATAAGAAAATATTCTGAAGCTTTGCTTTCTTTCTTTTTTCTTTATTGAACATCTAAAATACAAATAAACGATTGAAATAATGCAATCTCTTTTTTTAATTTTCTTCTATCATTTCTGATTATGTTTGATGTAGCCGATGTTTTTGAATACAAAACTACTGTCGGTTTACATTGAAATCTTGAAAAGGTATCGCAAAAATTACACAAGTCTTTAAAGAACAAATTATTTCTCTCAAATGTTACGTGTTATATTCAAATTTAGATAAATTTTTAAAGTAAAAGTAAATGTTATCAACTTCCCAAAAAAAAAAAGATAATAAGTTTTTCAATTGTATAAGATTGAACCGAGTTTTGCAGTCTCCGCGGTAGAATGAACATAATGTTCCTCTGAACATTAGATTAGTAATTATCTTTAGTTTAAGGAGCTGTCCACATTCACCTTATAATATTATAAAGTCAACATGTACATGCATAGTATATCACCTGTAATTCAGAAAGAAAAAAAGCTTTTGAAAATATTTATTTTGCCTTTTTCTTTTGATCATATGGGCTTTACTTAACAACAAAATTATTTTCATTTACCTGTGTATAATATGACGCAGGTTTTTTCAAAAGTGTTGATTTTCTAAATATTGTTTAACAGTGGTATCATACTTTTACTTTGTTTAAACCTGTTTATTTACTTTTGACCTTAATCATTTATCCCTTATAATTTTTATTAACTATGTATTTGCATTCAGGTATCACAGATCAAATTTATTCGTTCAATGTGTGTTAATTTACTTTTTTTGATTGAGTTAAGCCTTCCAATTGATATTTTATAGTGTGTCTTTCTATGTTGTGATGTTATACTATTGTTTCTGAAAAGGGAGAAGGTTAGGTACCATTAAAACGTTTAATCCCGCTGCAAATGTTTGCAACTGTCCTAAGTCAGGAATCTGATGTACAGTAGTTGTCGTCTGTTTATGTAGTTCATACGTGTTTCTCGTTTCTCGTTTTTATATAGATTAGACCGTTGGTTTTCCCGTTTGAATGGTTTTACACTAGTAATTTTTGGGGCCCTTTATAGCTTGCTGTTCGGTGTGAGCCAATGCTCCGTGTTGAAGGCCGTACCGTGACCTATAATGGTTTACTTTTATAAATTGTGGCTTGGATGGAGAGTTGTCTCATTGGCACTCATACCACATCTTCCTATATCTATTTAGATCACTCCAATTGATCGTCTATAGTTTGGATGGTAGTTTTAATATAGGAAAATGCAACACTAACAAAATAAGATAAATACCTTGATCAGGAACAACATTCTGCAGTCTTGAGTTTATTGTTCCAATGTAATAAAGAAAATTCAACATCAAAATCGACATCAAAATTAGGTGGGACAAGGTTTTCAGAGAGCATAAACTATCTTTCAATGAGACGTGTTCTTTAACTTTGTCATCTTTTTCTATCCCTTCATTAATGTCGATGTAAGGTTTTAGTTCTAGAAAATGAATTTTACAACTTCGGTAAATGAAAAGTTGTCACGCAGAAGAATATGGCCTGTTAAGTCAGGGATTTTGTTTCCACAAATTACTTAAAATCTTTACTTAAAATTTGGTTTGGAAGTTTGGCTGTACCTGTAGAAAGCTTATTTCAAACGGGATAGCACATCTTAATTTTGACGGACGTGTTTTGTTTACCGAGCTTGGAAATTTAGATTCGATCCAGATAAACTTATGGAACCTTTAAATAAACTTATTCTAAAAGTTTACCAATTCAACCTTGTAATTAGATCTTTGAATATTGTTTTCATTGGTATAAATATTGATTTTGTTATCAGGAAATTAAAAACCAAATACAATTGCTATATACATATGCACATGCATGGCTCTACAATCTGTCGATACCTGTATCTTTGCACTGCACAAGGTCATATTCTTCTCTGACTGTTAATGACGTCTTTATACTAAATCCATTGGATGTTGGATGTGTACTGATTGATATTTTAGTCTTAGATGCATGATTTTTTTTATTAGTTGTTATTGGCTTTGAACGAGCTGTCAGTAACTGCGAGTACTCTCAGATCTGTACTTAGTGTTTTTTTGTTGTTGTGGGATGTATATATACCCTGCCACGTCCGGTCTTTGTTTTTCTTAGATGTTTTTCTGCTTTGTATCGATCTGATGAGTCAAGCCCTTTTCAACTGATTGTATAGTTTGTTCATATGTTGTATTGTTACAAAACTGTCCCAGGTAAGGAGGAGGATTTGGCGCCAGCATACTAGTTCAACCCTGCCACATTATGATGTGCCTATCCCAAGTAAGGAGCATGCAATTCAGTGGTTGTCGTTTGTTGGTGTATTTCATACATGTTTTTTGTTCATTGTTTTGTACATAAATCAAGCCGTTAGTTTTCTTGTTTGATTTGGTTCACATTGGTCATTACGGGGCTTTTTAAACTTGACTATGCGGTATGGGTTTTGCCCATTGTTGAAGGACGTACGGTGACCTATAGTTGTTAAATTCTATGTCATTTTGGTCTCTAGTGGAGAGTTGTGTCATTGGCAAACATACCACATCTTCTTATTTATATATATAATGCAATATTTACAGTAAAACAATTCCCCTTTTTTGTTTCACAAAAAAAATATATTTCCAAACAAAATTATAAAGATACACAAACACTTCCTTTACAATATGTGGTAGACATCAAGCTACTAAAATTGCAGTTAAAATTTCATGTCAATATTCATACCTGTTCCTTTGTCCTGTGTTATGTTATCCAGGTCTATAGAAAGGTCTTCATTTGACTCTTTTTGTCTCGTATCAAACACTCTATGCAGTAAAAGGCTTACTCCACCAACAATAAGATGCACAACAACTAAACCAATAAACGGATATCTGTAATGCATTCCATTGTCATGTACAATCTGCAATAAAAAATGTTATATAATTGATTATTATTTAATTATTTATTTCATATATTTTGCATTTTGTTTAATTTTTTTGTGCATACATAGGAACATCGTTTTACTATTACACATTTGGAATAGACGCTACTAACTCAATGAGATAACGAGATACCCATACAAAAAAAAACAAACCAACAACTGCAACGTAAAAATGCATTCTCAATTGACAGAATACTATGATTAGAATTGACCAAAGTTTACCCAATTTGTATTGTTTGCATTAGAATATAACACATCATAGTATTTTAAAAACTTATAATTTCGATGTGATAACGCATTTAAACATATGTATTTGTTTGCAGAAATATCATAAGGAATTGGACACAAGTTACGTCCTCTCCCAATACAGATAAAAACAAAAAAGCATTTAATAAAGATGAAATCATGTAGAAATGTATGTACTTCAAAACAAAATAAAACAAAAAGCGAAAGGTAATATTAAATATAAGATAAGACAAGAGGGTCTGGATGGGGTTTTCAGAATAGAGAATGGTAGGGAAATCGTGCAGAATAAAGGGCCAAAAAAATAAAGAATACAGAACTAGAGGCTCTCAAGAGCCTGTGTCGCTCACCTGATTCTACTTTGGTTTTGGAAATCATGTAAAAATAGATTAATATCAAAACAGATACCCTAATAATGATTGAGGACAAATTTGGTTTAATCTTGGCCCCCGTAATTTAATAAAAAATCTTGAGGGTATGTATTTCCCATAGGATCTTACGTTAAAATACGTCCCCTGCTGGCGGCCATCTTGAAAGACGGATCGGCTCCAAAGTAACAACACTTGGTCAGCACCTCATAAGGAGCATTCATGCCATGTTTAGTTTCATTCCATTCAGTGGTTCTCTGAGAGAAGACATTTGTATGTATTGTTTATAAGGTCCTATGTTAAACTAAGTCCCCCACTGGCGGCAATCTTGGATGATGGATCGGCTACAAAGTACTTACACTTGTTCAACACCTCATAAGGAACATTCATGCCAAGAAGACATTTGTATGTATTATCCATAGGGTCCTATGTTAAACTAAGTCCCCCGCTGGCGGCCATCTTGAAAGATGGATCGGCTTCAAAGTAACAACACTTTGTCAGTACTTCATAGGGAACATTCATGCTATGTTTTATTTCATTCCATTTAGAGGTTTTCTAAAAGAAGACATTTGCATGTATTTCCCATAGGTCCTATGTTAAACTAAGTCCCTCTCTGGTGGCCATCTTGGATGACTGATCGGCTTCAAAGGAACAACACTTGGTCAACACCTCATAAGGAACATTCCTGGCATGTTTTTTTCCATTCCATTCAGTGGTTCTCTAAAAGAAGACATTTGTATGTATTGTCTATAGGGTCCAATGTTAAACGAAGTCCCCTGCTGGCGGCCATCTTGGAAGATGGATCGGTTCAAAGTAACAACACTTGGTCAGCACCTGATAAGGAACATTCATGCCATGGTTGGTTTCATTCCATTCAATGGTTCTCTAAAAGAAGACATTTGTATGTAATGTTTATAGGGTCCTATGTTAAACTAAGTCCCCCACTGGCGGCAATCTTGGATGATGGATCGGCTACAAAGTACTAACACTTGTTCAACACCTCATAAGGAACATTCATGCCATGTTTGGTTTCATTCCATTCAGTGGTTCTCTAAAAGAAGACATTTGTATGTATTGTCCATAGGGTCCTATGTTAAACTAAGTCCCCCGCTGGCGGCCATCTTGAAAGATGGATCGGCTTCAAAGTAACAACACTTTGTCAGCACTTCATAGGGAACATTCATGCCATGTTTTATTTCATTCCATTTAGTGGTTTTCTAAAAGAAAACATTAGCATGTATTTCCCATAGGTCCTATGTTAAACTAAGTCCCTCTCTGGCGGCCATCTTGGATGACTGATCGGCTTCAAAGGAACACCACTTGGTCAACACCTCATAAGGAACATTCCTGCCATGTTTGTTTCTATTCCATTCAGTGGTTCTCTAAAAGAAGACATTTGTATGTATTGTCTATAGGGTCCAATGTTAAACGAAGTCCCCTGCTGGCGGCCATCTTGGAAGATGGATCGGTTCAAAGTAACAACACTTGGTCAGCACCTCATAAGGAACATTCATGCCATGGTTGGTTTCATTCCTTTCAATGGTTCTCTAAAAGAAGACATTTGTATGTAATGTTTATAGGGTCCTATGTTAAACTAAGCCCCCCGCTGGCGGCCATCTTGGATTATGGATCGGCTGCAAAGTAACAACACTTGTTCAGCACCTCATAAGGAACATTCATGCCATGTTTGGTTTCATTCCATTCAGTGGTTCTCTAAAAGAAGACATTTGTATATATTGTCCATAGGGTCCTATGTTAAACTAAGTCCCCCGCTGGCGGCCATCTTGAAAGATGGATCGGCTTCAAAGTAACAACACTTTGTTAGCACTTCATAGGGAACATTCATGCCATGTTTTATTTCATTCCATTTAGTGGTTTTCTAAAAGAAAACATTTGCATGTATTTCCCATAGGTCCTATGTTAAACTAAGTCCCTCTCTGGCGGCCATCTTGGATGACTGATCGGCTTCAAAGGAACAACACTTGGTCAACACCTCATAAGGAACATTCCTGCCATGTTTGTTTCCATTCCATTCAGTAGTTCTCTAAAAGAAGACATTTGTATGTATTGTCTATAGGGTCCAATGTTAAACGAAGTCCCCTGCTGGCGGCCATCTTGGAAGATGGATCGGTTCAAAGTAACAACACTTGGTCAGCACCTGATAAGGAACATTCATGCCATGGTTGGTTTCATTCCATTCAATGGTTCTCTAAAAGAAGACATTTGTATGTAATGATTATAGGGTCCTATGTTAAACTAAGCCCCCCGCTGGCGGCCATCTTGGATTATGGATCGGCTGCAAAGTAACAACACTTGTTCAGCACCTCATAAGAAACATTCATGCCATGTTTGGTTTCATTCCATTCAGTGGTTCTCTAAAAGAAGACATTTGTATGTATTGTCCATAGGGTCCTATGTTAAACTAAGTCCCAAGCTGGCGGCCATCTTGGAAGATGGACCGGCTTCAAAGTAACAACACTTGGTCAGCACCTCATAGGGAACATTCATGCCATGTTTTATTTCATTCCATTTAGTGGTTTTCTAAAAGAAGACATTTGCATGTATTTCCCATAGGGTCCTATGTTAAACTAAGTCTCTCTCTGGCGGCCATCTTGGATGACTGATCGGCTTCAAAGAAACAACACTTGGTCAACACCTCATAAGGAACATTCCTGCCATGTTTGTTTTCATTCCAGTTAGTGGTTCTCTAAAAGAAGACATTTGTATGTATTGTCTATAGGATCCAATGTTAAACGAAGTCCCCTGCTGGCGGCCATCTTGGAAGATGGATCGGTTCAAAGTAAAAACACTTGGTCAGCACCTCATAAGGAACTTTCATGCCATGTTTGATTTCATTCCATTCAGTGGTTCTCAAGAAGAAGTTCAAAATGTAAAAAGTTATCGACGACGACGGACGCCAAGTGATGAGAAAAGCTCACTTGGCCCAGGTGAGCTAAAAATAGACCAAAAAAATAATAGAGAATAATGGGGTTGTTAAATATAAAGAATAGAGAATAATGGGGTTGTTAAATATAAAGAATAGAGAATAATGGGGTTGTTAAATACAAAAAATTGAGAAATATGGGGTTGTTAGATATAAAGAATAGAGAATAATTAGCCAAAAATATAAATAATAGAGAAAAATGGGGTAAAAATTTAACCCTCAGACAAGACAGAAGTGAATGATACTTCACGTGGTAGTTGTATGTTTTGAATCTTTGTGTTCTCTTGATAAACTGTTGTACAGAACTAAACATTTCTAAATGTTGCTCAAGTGTAAGGTATCCGTATCGGAGTTATTAATGAATAATTTAATTTTGGATGTAACACGTCTTCTGATTGGCTGAAAGTTTTTTGTCTATCAGCCCATAGACATAATTTTGTCAGGTGACCGTGACGTTATTAACGTTTTTTCATGATTTACTCCTTAAAAATGGAATTAAATTTTAGGAATAGCTGTAATATTTTTTCTGTCTATTCGAAATAACCTCACAAATGTGGTGCACTCTTTTAAATAACCCGCTATGCGGGTTATTCAGTGTGCATCACATTTTTTATGTTATCTTTTGATAGACAGAAAAAATATTACAATCATTGCTTGAATACAATATCATACATAATTCCCTATAGTTTACTCTGTTATTGATTTTTATTTTGCAGAATTGCCATAAACACAATTTATTTGTACATTTGCGTGAATTGGTTTAAGTAAAGCACGATGGATGATGCATTTATATGTCTTTCTTTTTTAATACTATTTTTTTTCACGATTGATAAGTATCCTTCCTGAGCATCTGAGATCACCCCTGTTTTTGTTGGGTTTCGTGTTTTCAGTCTTAAGTTATCTATGTTGTGTTTTGAATACTGTTTATCTTTTGGTTCTTTTCCCTTTTTTCCATGGCGTTGTCAGTTTATTTTCCGACTTGTGAGTTTGAATGTCCCTTAGGTCTCTTTCACCTCTCTTTTATGGCTTCGATTAAAACACATTAGTATGAATGACCACTTTAAATATTCATTTTTATGAACACCTGGGCACTCGGTTATAAAATTTCACTCAGTACTCGGAGTACAAAAATTTTTTTCGAAACATCAAATCCAATATCTTGATAAGTTGATTTTTTAGTCTGATAATAGTGCTCGATTTTTTTATGACCGCAAGTCCTGTGGTATGTATGTAATAAGTGAATGAAAACCCTCATAATCCTTCCAATATTAGTTTACACAATAACTTTACCTTAACTATCCAAAATGAAATCACTGACGAGTCAAAGGCACCGTTTAGGAGAGCTATATACACTCCGGAGCCAATGGTAAATAGTAGACTTATCTGTAAAAAGATAAACTTCATGCCTTTATAGA